TTTTGAATGAGATGCTAGCCATGTCAGATCTGTGCTTTTAATGGTCCAACAGGTGTGCTAAATGTGCTGCTTCATCATTAACTCATGACTGCAAAATGGGAATGGAGATATTATGTTATTTCAGCTAATCAAGTGCTGAAGCTTTGAAATGCCAGAAGCTTTGGCCAAACCATAAAGATGAAAAATACACATAATCAGTGATAGGTATTTGAAAGATTAATCAGAAAGCATGAAGTCCTCAAATTCATTTGGTACCCAGCAAACCAGTTCTTGCCAAAGAAAATACAATTTAGAATGTGCCTGAATTAAAGAGGAAATTTGAGAAAATAACCTTATGAAAGCACCCTAGAAAAAAAAATAGAGGCATTTATTTGGACAAAATTATCACATCTGCTTCTGAGTTTCAATTTTATACTTTCTTTTTTTTAAAAATTCAGATCACAAGTACTGTTTTCACAAATATTCTAGGGTGTTTTTATTGAACTTAGAAACTGGTCTTTGTCTTTTCTTAAAAGCAGTGTAGCAACTGAAATGACGTATCAACTATCAAAATATTTTGTGCTCACCGTTGCAAATCTAGTCCAGATGAGCACAGCCAAAAGTCTGATGGATTGTCCAAATACCTTGATCTGAGCGTTTTTTCCAGCTTCTGGTCAAATATCGATACCGGAAAAAATTAAGCACCACAATCAACATTAATTGCCATACTAAAGTGATTACTTGTGCGTAATAGATACGTCTTGATGGAGCATCTTGGGAGCCAGGAATAACGCATTTCTTGCTTGGACAATGTGGAGGAAGCTTGATTGCTACTGATGCTTTTCCCGGATCAATTGCTGAATTAGGAAGGGTTTCAATTGTTGCTTTTAAGCAATAAAGTTAATAAGCACGGCTACACTATTCAAAAGGAACCTCGGGTCATTTCCTTAATCCATGCTGAGGTAACTGAAGAAAAATGACTGACTGTCAAAGATGACTAATCTTCACAGATTGCCTCACCAGAATTTATCAGTGCTTCGTTATGTCTATGTAAGGCCAGCTTTTTTGGGACCTGATCAGTAACTGTGAATATTTGGATATTGCAGCTTAAATTTTGGTCTATTTTTAGTTTTTTTTTGTTTTTTTAGTTTTGTTTTTTGGTTTTGTTTTTTTTTTAATTAAATTGCCTTTGAGGTGTCCCCACATTTATGCAAATCTTTTGTACTTTCACATACGTGTTAAGTTTTGGTTTTGCAGATCATTATTACTCATTATTTTTAATTCCCTGGATTTGCATCTATGGTTTCCTGAAAAGTAAATTATTGGAATTCATTCCCGACAACTGAAGACTGTAGTATGAGTATAGGCAACTGGAGACCACCACCAAGGCAGGCTCCTTAGACAAAAGCAGCATAGCAGATGCCCTAAAGAGTTTACAGTCTAAATAATTTTCTTATCTCCCACTTCTTTCTCTGAGATATTAGTGCCTGATTAGTATTTGGCTACCTGTTTGTACAGTATAAGTGCTCTCTCCACAGTAAGCTTGGCAACTGAAAGCAGAAATAATGAGCAGACAGCTTTCTGTCTTGCAACAGTTTAACCACTATTAAATAATAGCTTTTGACAAGCAGGTTTAAAAATCAGGTGCTAATTTTCTGCAGAGTCAGAAGAATGTAGAGTTATCACTGTGCTGGGGAGATTAAATTGTAGAGACAAGACTATAGACCCTCAGATACTGTTACAGCTCAGTACCATTCATCACATTAAAGAAAAAATTTGCAAGCAGAACTACTTCTGCAAGAACATGAAAAATGCTCTTGAAACAGAGTTAGATTTTTCTCACAGCGATAAATACCATCCATTTGTATGTTTCCTGCACTAGGATTAAAAGGGATACTCATCTTTGCACTTATTTCATACAGGAACTTACAGACTTAGATGATGGATGAAGTAGAGAAATCCTCTTTGTAATGAGGAGCATTGTTTGGAGTTTCGTATTAACTAGTGAAAGAGTTGTTAATGTTGATGTGTTTTGAACCAAAGAAATCTATGATTATTCTTCTTCCTTTCCTCATTCTCCATCCCTGTTTCCTATCAGTTTCATACTTTAAATGTTGTTGAAAATTTGGTCTATTACAAGGAGTGTGGGTAGGGCTGGTAGTGAATAACTGCTTTTTCAAGGACAAGAATCAGGAAGCATCTCGATCCCTACCCTGGGCTGATGTCCCAGCCTGGTCCACAGCATCAATGGTTGTTCTCAACTGGGAATCGTTACCTTTTCTTCTTCCACTGAAAACATACTGTGAAGTCTCCAAAACCCTGTCTGATCCCTCTACTGCTTCTCTGCACCTCCTGGGCCTGCAGAGCCTGTTATCTTTCCGTAAACAGACTCCAGCCCACAGTTACGTTTCTTAGTTCCCTTCCTGGAATATCTGTCTCAGCGCAGACTGATCTTCTAGTCGTGGTGGTAGGTAATCATGGGTATGGAGGTATCACACTGCCCATGCTCCAAAGCTGGGGACAGGGTTTTATTTTCTATCTGTTTGGATCTAGGGCTTTAGTTCAGGTTCATACACAGAAGACATCAGTCCCTCAGGACATTCCTGTTCTACTTACTGAAACAGGTTTTTATGTCATTCATCAATAAGCATTAATTCATTGGTTTAGGTCAGATTTGGTAAGTTCTCAGGATGGCAGCAGCCATGGGGAGTTGGAATGGAGCTCATATTGGCTATGCCTTGCTGTAGTTGCACTGGGGTGGTGATGTGCTTATTTATTTATGCCACAAAAGAGAGATTGCACTTACCTGTTACTTCTCTGCTGTTGGAGCTCTCCACGTGCCTGTATGGCTCCTCGACATCTTTGTCAAGTGTTTGGAGAAAAAGAAATCCTTGAAAAAGTCAGGTCAGTATAACTGGGATCAGTGACTTGGCAGGAGTTCCCAACGACCCTATAAAGCTTTGCAAAAAAATAACACAAAACGCCTTCTATTCATCCCTTTATGATTTGATTCCTTGTCTCAGCTCTTGTTCCAAAAGCCAAGAGGCAGTAGCACCACCAACAAAGCTTCTTTTACAGCCTTTTTTGGCATTAGTTATGGAAGGATTAGATGTCTGACCTTTCAGCAGTAGGTAAAGGGAGAATAAAAAGGTCTGTATTCTTGACAGTGTTTGGAAGTGCCTGGTCTCCCCAGTTTTTCTTTGCACTGACTGTTGTATGCTGTGTGCTCTGGATATGCCAATAATGTTAAGGCAGAGGACCAAGCTTGTTGTCTTTGACTGTTACAGTCTGGCACTGTTGAGACTGTTCAAGCTAGTGAACTCTCTTAACATATATTAATCCAGTGTGCCTCCTATGAAGAGTATCTAAATCCTTGTTCCAGCCCAGAAACCTAGTTGTAAGCTTTAGAGAGTTGTTTTCAGTTAAATATATAGGAGATGGATCTTATTAGCAGAAAGAGTGTTTTAAGAAGTTAAAGAGGTAGAGTGAAGTGAAAATCATCCCGTCTTTGTGCACTGAGAGTATTTGTGTGGAGGCTAAACAGAGTCTTACAATTTCTGCATTATACCAGGATGTAATATCTGTCCTCGGCATATTTCAGAGTCAATCCGGTGATATCATTCAGTGATATCCAGTATCAGTTACTATTTTAAATTATCTTACATATGCCTCTATGTACAAAATATTGATCCTATTTATGTTGATTTCCCATTTGCAGAAAAGTCAAAGGTTCTATATTCATGTATTAAAGAGGATTTCTTGTTCTGTACCTCACTGTTTGTTCATTATACAACATATGTTCATGTTCTGCCATCTTTCTTTCATTGTTTTTTTCTGTTTTCATCCTCCTTTCTCCTTTCCACACTTTCTTTCTTCCAACAGCTTCTCTTTCAGTGGACAAGGCTGTGACCTCCATCCCACCTTAAAAAATAATAAAACTTGATCAATATAGACCATTCTGGCATCTTTAGTGCATCACGAATAAATTTTACTCCTTTACCATACTGATAATGTTACTGGGAATGGGGACATTCACATTTTGTGCAAGAGTTTGTGTCCTAAAGCAGACCCATAGCTCTCAAGACTTCAACACCATGAAAAGCAGATATATTAGCTGGTCAGTCGGAGGAGGAGACACTTCCTAAATCTCATCGAATGTTGGATCTGCAGATGGAGGATGACACTTTTGAACCATACCTCTTTCCCTCAGGACAAATACTACTACATCCCTTAAAAACTATACTGAAATCTGCCCAGATTTGACTTGAATCAACATGTCCTTTTATTCTTTCTCCTCTTGAGGAAAAAGAGAAGTGTTTGCAAGCTAATGCTCTGCTGTCGTTGGACCCCATGCATTGCCAATGACCAGGCCAGATATCTGTCTTGAACTTCTGACAAGGGAGGAGCACAGGCTGGCAGAAAAGCCTGACTGCAGATTGAAAAAGATCCAACAGCATTTGGAGGATCAGTCAGGAGGGAAAAGGGCCCCAATGATAACAGTGCACATGCTGAGTGACAAGGACCTTCCTGTCAGGGAATGATTGCCTGGCACTTTTCTGGAAGTGACACTTTTTTAAAAAGCTCTTAGAGGGACCTCTGAAAATGAAGGTACCCAACCTTAAAAGTGGCCAGTAATGTTAAGGCACAGGACCCTGCCTGTTGACTTTGGCTGTGGGTTGAATTCAATACATTGAAAGCAGAATCCACTCTAAGTACATATAAAGAGCTTCTATACAGACATATATGATTCTGGTTTCAATTGTGCGGAAGTATATATGGTTTTAGTGAAAATTTGCATTAAATGTGTTTGGCAGACTATAATATGGACACTTGAATTTCATGTAAATTAGATTATAGTAAGATTAATACAACCTTTCTGAAAGCCTTCATGCTGCGCAATATTTTGTCTTTTATTTTAAAGTATAACATTCCTTTCTTTGCTGTGAAGCATGGAACAAAAGTTAAGTCTCAGTGTGACTTCCCACAATATTAATTATAATGATATGCTTGTATTCCTACAGCGAAGATGTTTGTAAACGAGGATTCACTGTTATTATCGATATGAGGGGATCCAAATGGGATTTGATCAAGCCTCTCCTAAAAACCCTTCAAGAAGCCTTTCCTGCTGAGATTCATGTTGCCCTCATTATAAAACCCGATAATTTCTGGCAGAAGCAGAAAACAAACTTTGGCAGTTCCAAGTTCATCTTTGAGGTAAGAGCCACAAAGAAATGTATGGTAAAGTATTATCTGTGATGAGAACTTTTCTTCAGGTAAAAAATAATTCCTACGCCCTGTGACTGAAAGCAAAAAGTACATCTGAGGACTGGGAGTGGGAGCAGGAGTGGGCTCATGCCCTGGCATCAGGTTGTCTTCTGAGTACACTGGTGGAATGAGTTGCATATTTCATGTCAGAGGTTCACATAGTTCATTTTGCTGAGGGTTTTTTTGTGGTATTTATTTTTGGTGGTGTTGCATTAAGTCTTTCCTTTGTTTCTCACAGGAAAAAAAACATCAGCAAATCAGTTAAAATGCTAAAGACAAAGTTCTTTAGAAGCAAGTGTATGGGTTTGTTAGTTGCCTTCTATGCAGCTTCATGTAGTGACTTTTTTTTGGGTAAAAGATATTTACTAAATTGTCACCTCTTTATATTGTCACCTCCTTCATTTAATTGAGCTTTACAATTCAGGGGTAACATTATCACGTGAATGATAAGGTACCTCGAGCAATGCACTTTAGTTTTTTGTGAATTTCAGCTTCTTACATGAAGAGAAGCAAAGCTCAGATGCATGAAGTGCTCATACTTCAATCATGCCCAGCCATGACTTAGTCATGTGTTGTTTTTTCTAATTCACTGATAAACAATTATATTTTTGGCTGTCTTACCAATCCATTAATTCCAGAGAGACACTCAGATTTTGCATCTCTGGAACTCAGTAGAGAATTTGGCTATAGCTCTTAATGTTTATTGCAATGGAAGACTGTATTTAAGTATATATTTAAGATTTGTTGAAATCAGCGTGATATAAATATATCCTTATTTTGAACATCTTCTTTGAAGCACTCTTGAATTGGTATGGGGAATTAGATTGGTGTTACACATTAACACAATTTTACATTATTATCACAGTTTAAGTATTTGTACACTTTCCTCACCCGTTTCACAAAACCCAGTCAACTTATAAATTTTGCTTTGATTAAATAAGTCTTTACATTCCTTGGCTACTTTTGAGGACTCTGCCATCAAAATAACTTGCACTTGCTATCCCATATGCTATCCCATATTTCCCTCTGAAAGCAAGGCTGCCTCCATTATGGGTTTACCTCCAGAGACCCCTGACACTTACTGAAATCACTGCTCCTGGCAGAGGCAGCTGCCATCACAGTGCAATGAGATTGGCAATGCTGCCTGTGGGGAATGAGATGGATTGGGGCAGTGGGAAGGAGGAGGGAGATGTATGGGCACAGAAGAATGTGGAGCAGGAGGGAGCCTGTGCAGAGACTAGTAATAGAATAGTTTTGCGGGATGGGGACTGTCTATTTAAAAATTATATGGGCACTGAGGGGCAGTCCCATAGTAGCCCAAGAACACACAGGGATATGCATGTATATTCAACACTGAATTTCAATCCTCCAGTGCTTTAGTAAACAAAAACAATGTCTTCCTAGAGCTTCAAAACCTAGAAGTAGAGTAACAGAGTTAAAGTACATATTTTTAGAATATTTGTTTGTTTTTAAAATGAATTAATACTTTCTGCAGGCTTTTTTCTGTGTGGAGTTGGTGTGATGATAATAAAGAGTAAACTGTGATCAAGCTATTCCTCATAGTTACAGATCTGAGTCTGTATTGTGATAAAAGCTCTGGACTTGTTTGCTGTACATGCTGGCACACATGAAGGGCATTTTAATTTTGCGTGTGTTGTTTGTGCCTTTGAGCCTTAGTCTGTCTGCTGGGCTGTTCACATGGGTGTCTGTAATGGGTTACAAGATTTTGGACTGGAGGAGGAGTGTCACTGCTTTTGCTGTGTACTGGACCACCTGCAGATACTTCGAATCATAGAATGGTTTGAATCCTTCAATTCCACAATGTAAACAAAGATTTCCTAAGCTGTGGTCCACCCTGCAATATATGCACCACAATCCAGGAACTTCTCTTTTAAAGAATTCTTGGGGCTGAGGCTGCTGCTGCTCATCAGTAAGCTCAGGCTCTTGGGTAGCTCATGCTCTCATAAGAACTGAGTATCAAACAAACTTCACAGTTCAATATGACCCACATTTATTTGATTTATGTGGGGCAGCTCACAGGTACCTTCTCTGCACTGAACTGTCATGGTGATTTCCCACAGCTCGGATCAAACATGAGGGCCTTGGCAGGAACACACTGCAGTGGAAGGCAATGTAAGTCTCTACTGAGTTGCCCCATCCACAAATTCAGCAATAACCAGTGTCAGTTTTAAGGCCAGATTTCTCTTTTGAGCTTAATGGAAGCATTATGTGTGTGCCAGGGCACTGTAGGACCCACCCTTAGTGGAGGCTAAGGATTTGGATTTTGTGTGGTGAGACTTCAGCAGAGTGTTTCTGTGTCACAGTCCAAAGTGAAGCAAGCCCACAGATCTTCACACAAAGGAAAGGGTTTGGTTTATGTATGTGGACTCCAAAGCTGCCTGGCACTTTGAGGAATGGACCAGGCAGCTTAGTTATCAGTAATTCAGAGATGCCTTTAAGATTATTTTCTTTCTTCTGCTGAAAGAGTCTAAATAGTGGACAGCACTTCTTAAAGTGATTTTTAAAAGAAGGATGGTTACCACCTGCCTGCCTATTAAGATTGTTTTCATTAGAGTTTAAAAAACTCCTTAAAAACTCAAACCTGAATAAAGGGAATTTCTGCAGAATTTGTGAAATGAAAATCCTTTCTGCTATCTCATGTCAAATTTTGTCCATGATTAGACCAGTGCTTCCATTAGCTTGACACACTGCAGGGAGATTCCCAAGTGTTAACCATGAGCAGAAGTATTTTCCTGACAGGCAGTTAAACTGTTAAATTGAATTATCTTCAAGGGGTCATTGTCCAGGTCAAGAGATTTAAAAATTTGAAAAACTTCTGAAGCTACATACTTACCTTCCCATTGTTTGTTGGCTCTTCCCACTGTCTTCCCCTTTCCCCAAAGCAAGGAATCATGCAAGGAAGTTTTAAAATAATCTTTCTCCTGAGCATAAGTTCAGTACAATCCCAATTTTAATAAGTTCCAGAATGCCTGATATTTTTAGATAGATACAAATTGGAAGAAAAGGCTTATTATTAAATTTAAACCAGTGGTCAGCCTGCTCTTTTGGACATAATTCAGGAAAATGATCACGACTTCAGGTGTTTTTCTTTGTAGATGACTTTTATAAGATTGCTGTGACTACTGGGTTCCTCCACTTCTGAAGAGCACAAATCCTTACAGTCTTTAGAAGCCTGATCTTTAGGGGATAGATATGCAGTCACTGATGAATATCACAGGCCTTTAAGGACTGCCAATTTGAGTGTTAACATGACAGCACTGAAAATCTCTAGTTACATATGAAATCCTAAGCTTGTATTTCAGAAAAAGAATAATTTGTCTAGAATAAATGGGAACAGCTATCGATTGTTGCATCCTTAAACTGTAATCTGCTTTCCAGACACCCAGTGCTTTTCTCTATCACCAGTTACTGAGTTTGAATGAATTAAAACCATCTCTCATTGACTGTGTGTGATTTGTGAGCAGTACTTTCTATGGGCAATAAATTCTAGTTGTTAATACTCCAAAGACATTTCACTTTTACATTGAATTTGGCTTAATTACATTAGGAATTGTTAATATGGAAGAGATCTGCCCGTGGCTGAAGCCAGCTGGAATAATCTGGAAGAAAAAACTCAACATGTTGTGTGTTTTGGCAGGTTGCAATACCTGCTTCAGTTCATATGCCTAAAATATTTGCTTCTGTATAGCCACTGGCTGGGGTGTAACACAAGTAGCAGAATCCCTGTAACACCATATACCTGTGCAGTGAGCAACCATGTCCAGATCTCCAAAAGCTGCAGGAAGATGTCTTCAGTGTCCAGCTGCGTTGATGTAATCTGTAGCAGAAGCATTCTCATTACTTGTTTTTGATAGTCAGGCCAGCTGAAAAAGGTAGACATTATTCCAGTAGATATAATGTCTTTTAATAAATAAGTAAATCAATACCATTAATAGCAAAGTTTCCTATCCAGTTAATTCATCAAAATTAAACATAGTCCTCAATGTGTTTTACAATGTTCCTTCAATTATGTATTGATGAGGAAAATAATCACTTCATGCACCATGCATCACTTTATGGATTGCACTGTTGTTTCTGATTAGATGGTCACTGATTCAAATGCTGTCCTTTTCCCTTCCTTAGACGAGTATGGTGTCTGTTGAAGGCCTGGCAAAACTTGTGGATCCTTCTCAACTGACGGATGAGTTTGAAGGGTCCTTGGATTACAACCACGATGAATGGATAGAGTTGCGTGTCTCATTGGAAGAATTCTTCAACAGTGCTATCCATTTATTATCAAGGCTGGAGGATCTCCAGGAAATGTTGGCTAGGAAGGAGTTCCCAGTTGATGTTGAGGGCTCGAGAAGGCTGATTGATGAGCACACACAGCTGAAGAAAAAAGTGATTAAAGCTCCCGTGGAAGAACTGGATCGTGAGGGTCAGAGGTTATTACAGTGCATAAGATCCAGCGATGGTTTTTCTGGTAGGAACTGCATTCCTGGAAGTGCGGATTTTCAAAGTCTTGTGCCAAAGATCACCAGCCTTTTAGACAAGCTGCATTCCACCCGGCAACACTTACATCAGATGTGGCATGTCCGCAAGCTGAAACTGGACCAGTGCTTTCAACTCCGGCTTTTTGAGCAAGATGCTGAGAAGGTAGGGAACAATCTTTTCCTTTCATACTTTAAACAAGACACAATTGCAAGGACACTGTGACCATTTTTTCTGTAAGTGGCAACATGAGGTGTTCATCCCAGGTGTAAATCTCATATTGTCAGCAGATGTACTTTGTGTGACTCGTAAACCAGATTCATTGAGCTAATAATTGTTGGATATAGCAGACATAATGATATCCAAGAGTAGCTTGTCTCTGTGACTTTTGGTGAAAGTTAATCTGATTTTCTGTGTCACAATGAGTATATTTAGTAGACATTAGCACGAGAATTGGGCTTTTTTTCAAGTTTCTTTTACAAAGCTTATGAATATATTTATCTACTTGTCACAGCACCTAAAGAAGAATGATTTTAGGGTTTGGTTCACTATGATTATTGTTTGCACTTCTTGGAGTCTATGGGAAATTTGCAGTTTAAATCCTCCTAATTGTTACCTCAAAGAACATTTTCAGTTTCCCGTTCCTAGGAAATCCCAACAAGATTTTAAATGGGTAAAATCTTTAGTAATGGCTTTGTACCAAGGCCGTGGCCGCTCAGTTCCCACAGAACAGATCTGAGTCTATGTTTAGGTTAAACATATGAACACTCCAAGAGAAAGTATTCTGCAGTAACAGCAACATGCAAAGCCCAGTGTGGCTGTTTTGCATTTTAAAGCACATAAGGATGGCTTTTGAATTCATACCTGACACTGAGTCAGTGCCCTGTTCCTGTTCACCAGCACAAGACCTTATTTGAGAAATATTTAACAATAAAGTATTCCATAGAGATTTCATCACAGCTTCATGTTTCCTAGATGTTTGCAATGTAGTGTGTCAGCCTGAATACATGTAGTGTGTCTTGAAATGCAATACAATATACAAAAGTATGTAGAGCAGCAGAAGTACAGGTAAGTAACAGGGACTTAGGAAGCTATAGTTTCACAGGTGTACAGTACCACATCCTCATTTCCTGCCTCTTCAGAAGATACTAATTCAGGAACCTATATTAGATAAGGAAGTCCCCTGCAAGCAAAGCATAGCAGCTTGTCATGTTTGTTGAAAAGGGTGGCTAAAAACCAGCCAGAGTTCCCAAACCAAGTCTCACAAACAGCAGCATGTACAAATTTCACTAATACACAGTAAAGTGTGCTCCTTACTACTCGAAGTTTTTGTCTGTCTCTGGAAGCACATGCAAGTACAGGTTTTGAGAATTTACTTTATAAAAATTGTGTTGTGCCAGGGTCTTGGCTTTCTTAATGCAGGAATGCTTGACACTTTCTTAGGTGGTTTTGTGAGAAGTCTTTCCTGCACATTTAAAATTCTAGGCCAGAGAGGTAGGGCATTCTCAGTGGAAGGTACTAAGCTCTCAGATCTAGTCTGTACATCCATCAAAAACACCAATCTGTGAATCTTCTCTTCTTAATGTATTATCCAGTTGTTTCACTAGTGTGTCTGCCTGGACAGACCCAGGGGGATCTCACTAAAGATGGTTTTTTTAATCAGCTACAAGTTAGTATTATTTTAAAACATCAGGGAAAAGCACATTGCTGAAACAAACATAATCTTCAGTAGTGCAGAGCAACACACGTGACATTGTTTTTCAATGCATGTACTAAATATCTCTAAGACATGTTAAGACTGAAAAGGCTCCATCACTGTATAATCAATCCTCCTTGGGAAAACCTTGAATTCAGATGAACCCCACCAAAATAAGAGTCACTGCAGCATCACTCAAGAATGTATAAGGACAGAATTTTAATTCCAAATGCTCCAGTTTCTTCTCCCTTTTCCTTGTGTGTCAGGTGCTGTAAGGAGATCACTCAATTCTGTGCTTCCCAGCAGTGGTTGTATTTCAGTGGTCCAGTTTAGATTTTCAGTTTCTTTGGGATTATTCAGATGACTGCTACTTACTAACATAATTTTTAAATTTATGATTGTGATTCACTAATATTATTAGTAAATTATTAATATTTAGGAAGTTGTTGTGATGAATAAAGTTATAAGCTGAAAGCCTCTCAGATCAAGTCAATGTCCGAGAAGTTCTTGTTGCCGAGCACTGTTCTGTAGTGTTGAAGGAAGTCTCCAGTATGTTTCCCTTTTACCTCCTGAACAGGAATAAAAGGATGGTGTGATGTAAGTCTGGCAGTGTGACAGCTACAATCTTTGCACGTTATTCTGAGGTTGTTAAGTGTAAGGTTTAGGCAAGTCAACAAAAAGGTGAAACCTTTGAGGTGAAGGAAGAAGCAGTGAGAATGTGATTCCTGCCTTTGTAACACTGTCCATCTTGAGTGACTCCTGTTTGACAAAACTGGCATTCTGGTATTCTTGATGTCTCTTATTCATCTACCTCACATTAAGTAAGCACACAGTCTTGATTTGGCTTCTCTCTGCTTTGGCTCTGCTTGCCTTTCCTTGACTGCTACATTTTCCCAAAGAATAGAAAATATTTTGTTGTTTTATACTTTCAAATCTGTCCTTTTAACCTCCCCAGTTGGAGAGTCCCTAAACTCTTCCAGGAAAGGTTGCAGACCCTTTAACTTCACATTTCACACGCGTAGACTGATGTAAAATATTGATGTGCCTTTTCCATGTAGCTGCCTTTTGCAGGTCTCTTTGAAGTAGTCTGATCATCTCAGACTGGAAAGTACTTGTTTCATAAAATGTTCAGAGCTAAATCAAGTCTGAGCACTGTCTCCACTGTAGAAATAGCCACCGGTGTGTCTGTGTATTGAATTTTAGAGTTTCCAAGTACGTCCATTTGCTCAGTTGCACTTTACGCTCTACACGTAGGTGTGGTAGCAGAGCCAGGATACTCTTCATCTCCCAGGGAGAGGTGCAGCTCTTTCCATCTAACCTGGATACGTCATTTAGTTCTAACCAAATGACAACTCTAATACCCTGTGAAAGCTCAAATTCCAACATAAAATTCTGAATATAAACAAGGTTTTAGATTGTTTGGTTTTTTTTTTAAATATCTCTGTATACTCATTGGATGATATTTCAGGAAACCTGTTCTAATAAGGAGAAAACGAACAAGGACTTTCCATTTTCTTGACATCTCTGATTTCAAAAATTTCAGGTGTCCTCATTGCCTGAAAAGTTCTCAAAACTGGGATAGAAAAAAAAAAAAAGGGACACAAGAACTAAAAACACAGAGTATTTTAAGGTATGTTAATTTTTGAACCCTTTAGTATTAAAGCACCCCAAATGTTCCAAGCAAATCAATTCAGGTTTTTTCCTCCTATAGATCCCCTCTGTTGGAACTATTAGAAATGGCAGTCATTGCCTTGACACACAAATCATACAAACTACAGGTATTACAACTTAGAGAAGTCTGTAGAGTTGTGTGCTGAACAACTCCTATCATTGGCAAATAAGCGGAATGGGTGGCAATCACAGCCTGGGTTTCTCCCACTCAGATCAGTGAATGAGAGCAAAGCTGTCTATGGAGAAACTTTGTCTCTAAGTCAGGCCTTTAGGATTTTATTTTCCTGTACTGGGGCCAAGGGAGGGGAGAAGTGGAGCTCTCACATAGGCAGAAGCAGTGCAGTGAGATTGAATCCCCAGATGGGGACTGGAAGCTCCTTGAAGCTCAAGTCAGCAGGCAGGTCAGCCACATGGGGAGCTTTGGCAGAGGGGTGTGAGGAAGTTCACATGCTGTGCAGTGCTGACTGTAATGATCTGCTGATAAATAACACATTTCAGCTGCTGGCATAGCTCTGTTCAACAAATTTATTCCTCACCAACTAATATAGAAATACGTATGTACATACATATAATTTTGAAACTAGAACTGAGGCTTCACTATGTTTTTACTGGGTAACAGGGAAAATATTTTTAGTCACCAGTAACTTTAAAAAATGTAGCCCAGTCTAAACTGAATATTGTTTGAAACAAAAAACCCACGATCTGCGTAGATACAACTATTAGAACTATCTGAGAAATGATAATTGGTTGGTTGAAATCTGGACAGGGAGACTAATTCAGGCAAGAGTCCACATGTTTTGCACTTGAATAAATACCAAAAAAAGACAAAAAATTATCCTTACACGCTGTACTTTCCAGCTTTTCTGGAAATCATTTGTAACTGGCACCCAATTTGACTTTTTGTAGGAATTTCCACATCATTCTGGGTTGATTACATATCAATTTTACTACCCTGGCATGTATGTGAATGAAAAACAGCTATCATGATGTAATCAGCAATGTCCACATTAAGTATAAACAGTATAGTCACCAGCTGGACTGAACTGAGATTCTCCACTGTAAACTTGTCACAGCAGAGCAAAGAGGAGGCTGCTCTAACACCACTGGGGTCAGCCCCAACAGGAGGCAGAGGGGGCTTTGCACGTTCTCTCTGTCCTCACCTCCCCTTCTGCTTCCTGACTTCCCATCCACTACACAAAGGCTAACTCCAAAAGATGGCAATGGTAGTTAGAAAATGCCACAAGTGAATTTCACTGGAAGTTTGCGGTGGGAGAAACATTTTATTTGGATCAGGCCAGCTTTGTAGAAAGTCTAGTGGCAAACCACAGGCCACATCTAGTCTTCAAGGAGCAGTGAAGCAGCAGGCTTGCAGTCAAAACCAACTGCCTCATGTACACCAAAGCTTCCCTTTGAAAAAACACAGCTCTGCCTGTGATTTTCCCTGTGGAGTAGGCTCTGGGAAGCTGTGCTGGCTGCTGGGGGCTGCCGTGGTGCTGCTGCTCTGCAGGTGGCTGCAGTGAGAGGGAGTGGGAAGCAAAAACGGCTTGCAGCTCATACCCCACAGCAGCTGTTGCTCCCATTTCCCAGGTGATGTGACCAGCTGGAATGGCAGCGAGCACAACAGTGATTGGAGTGTGAGTGATTGGGCAGTGAGCACAAGAGTGACTGGAGATTACCAATGCAAAGTTCATAGATAGAAGACAAGTTTGGAGGGGGCTATAAGCAAAACGATTGAGGGGGAAATAGGGTGCAGTAACAGTTGCAGCAATTCTCCTGCATCCTGCTCCCTTTGCAAGTG